TGGGAGTGTCTCCAATGTGTCCTGGTGTCTTTATCCTTCACACTAGTCATTTGCCTGTTGTGGGCAGGGTTTGGTCTCTGGTTTGTATGTGGCACATTTTACCTAGGTGCGCTCTTGTCTGCATATAATGAGATCTCTCACTGCGCCACAGGAATTGAGGCCTCCAAACTTGTAAGTCCGGAGACGCAGTGTTGGCGCGAGTTTGGGGCAGTCTTCTGGGGGAGGGGCCTACTCTCCTGAGACTGAGGCAAGCATGAATGGAAAGGGCAAGTCTTCCAGACCACAGGGCTTGGTGTAAATGAATTAAGACCAAGTGTTTGCATTGTGTCGGTTCCCACAGATGGCCAGTTCCTATATTCCTGGAGGGGGTCTCTCCATGAAGTCTCTCTGATGAGCAAACAACCTCCCCACTATGTGCTCTAGGTACTCTTCACATTCCTATCTCCAGGCTCTATGTTCACAGGCTGTTTGCAGCTGCCCTTGGAGTGAAGACAGGCAATGTCCTCCAGGCTCTCCTAGAGCCAAGCATGGTAACCTTTAAAACTCCCGGCTTTAAGCACCACTGGTTGCATGGAGTCACAAAATATGAGCCCTTCTGCTTTCCAAGCCAATTGTTTTCCCTGTGTGTTCTCCTATATGCTAGTATATCATCTTTTGCCCTTCTCTGTGACCATGGCTCCCTTCTCACTGCTTTTGCCATAATCCATTTCTCTCCCAAGCCACATCTCTGTCCTTTCTACCTTGATTGCTGTGGCCTTTTCTCTGCCTTTATTTGTGGAGTTTGTTCTGCCAGTCTTCAGATAGATTTCTGGGGTATTTAGGATGATACGATAGTTACCTAGTTGTATTTGTGGAATGAGGCAAACCTTGGGTCCTCCTATTCAGCTGCAATCTTCCACTCCTTCTACAAGTAGGCCTCTATCACAGAAAGACTAGGGGGGGGGGGGTAGTAGTCAGCCAAGAACTGTCTCTCCATTTGTTATAGTCCCATAGGGCCCAGGCTCTCAAGCCTGCTAGCCACCAGAGCCAAATGATCAAGAGGTATTCACTGGCTGGCAGCCTAAAAACTAGAGCATCAGACTTGTGTAATAGCATCCCTCCAGGAGATACTGTTCCCTTGGAGTGTGGCAGAGGAAGGATGCAAAGATGGTAAGCACTGGCCACCATCCTCACAGTGTACTCCAGCAGGCCCCTTGATCTTTTGAGAGGTCTGCCCTCCAGATTGCTGCTTTAAGATAACAAATCTCTTTCACAGAGAGTCTGGACACCTTTCAAAGGGCTGCCTTTTTGCAGATAGGTTCATGGGCAAGACGTTTAAGAACCATTGCTCAGCTTGTTATAGCCTTGTGGATCTCAAGAACATGAGCTCCATCGGCTTTCAAAGCTAGATATCTGGGGAGCTAGCTGGTCTCTCCAGTGCCTGTCTTAAAAATGTGGGGTTCAAACTCTTTGCTCCTCAGAGAGAAGCTTTTTTGTTCCCTTCCAATTGTGGGTCACTGTGCCAAGGGTGGAGTTTATGGTGAGATTGTGTCTCAGCCTTTCCTACTTGCTTAGATGTCAGTTTTATTTGCCAGATGTGTAGAAGGTGCTCTGGTAGTTTTGTTTTCCAAGGCAATTGTTCTGTATGTAGCTGGAAGTGAATTCAGGATCTTCCAACATAGCCTCTTCATGCTTACCTTGTTTAAAGCAGTTCAACCCCAGCATCTTGCCTATCTCTTGAACACTTTCTCAACACCAGCTCAACCACTTAGTGACCTTAAGCATGAACTCCCTCGGTGTCATTTGTAAAACATAGTCATAATATGGAAGAGTGCTGAGGTAGGAGAAAATAATTATCGTGCCTCCAGGAAATTAAAGTAGTAAAATTAGTTGGTAAGCTCTATAAAGCAGATGCTGTTACTTCATCCTTGTGGCCCTAGCACCATACTCAAAATAGTGAATGACCATCTGCATAACATGGAACTAACGCATTTCCAAGAATAAGGGTGGTGGTGGTGGGGGGAGTGGATGATGATGATTACATGGAACTCAGGAGCCACCTGAAAAGTGAGGGAATGGAAGCATGAACAGTGGAGGTGATGTGTGACAGTGGTTCAGCTTGTCCCAGGTGACTTTGTCATTGCCCTTCCAGTGCTGTGATCCTTCCACCAGGGGACACTTCCCAGCTTCATCTTCCTGACTGGGGACAAGGGCCTCCTTGATAATTTGTTGACTATGGACCTTTTCTGTGGGCAAATGCACACACAATATTTAAATGTAATTTTAGGGGATTCTCAAGCAGGATCATTCCCTGGAGCTGCCCCATCCTCCTAGCAGCCTTCCTTCCTTGGGAATAGGCTATGTTGCATCATACTCTGCTGGATCAGAGCCCCAGTGGCATGCTATTTATAAGAGACAGGTTCTTGAGTGGTTCCTGGGCCAGATGATGTAGCAGGTGACTCTCTCCTCCTCTCTTTTGCCTTCTCAGTTCAAAGGTTATATCCTGAGGGATTTGGTTCTTTTGGAAACTGCATCTGTTTTATCCTGGTTGGTATTTAAAATCTATTTTGAATAATATTGACTTGGATTCCCTTTCCCTGAGACTTGGCAGGGCCCTTCTGGTGCAGCCCTCCACCAACTACTTCTGTCACTGGTGCCCCTTGTGTTGAACTAGTGGTGGGCGGGGAGGTTCTGCAGTGCCACCCCTTAGTCCACCCACATTGCATTTTTCTCCCCAAAATGACTAATGACCCAAGTGGAACCCTTTATATTTTACCCTGTTCTCTGACAGCTGCAAAAACCAAACTATGGTTGGTTAAAGGAGGAAACATGCTCACAGAGGTATACCCAAAGTCACACCCCAAATTCGTAGCAGCGCTCAAACACAGCTCTTATCACCAAATCCTAGCTTTTATATATATAATATATATTTTAAAAAAAAATTTTTTTTTTTTTTTTAATTCAGCTAGATTCAGTTTAGATGATCCCAGTTTTGTTGGCAACATCCAAAGCTTCATAGTCAGGAGCCAGTTGAACATATGCCGCCTTCTTTCTCTGGGGTCTGATCAGGGTGTTGACCTTAGCCATGTCAATGTCATAGAGCTTCTTCACAGCCTGCTTGATCTGGTGCTTGTTGGCCTTGATATCCACAGTGAACATACTTATGTTGTCTTCTGTTTTTTTCATGGCTGACTAATCAGGGGGAACTTGATGATGGCATAGTGGTAAAGCTCGTTTCTTCTAGGGTGCACTCTTTTGAAGATATTTGGGCTGTCAAAAAGTAGATGACATGTGGAGTTGCCGGAGTGGCTCAGTCAGGTGTCTGGGATCAAGTCCTGTGTCAGGCTCCCTGCTTAGCAGGGATTCTGCTTCTCCCTCTCAAATGAATAAATAAAATCTTAAAAAAAAAAAATAGATGTATTTCAGCACTGCTTTCTTGGCCTTCAAAGCCTTTGCTTTGACTTTTGGAGGGCCAGGGGCTTCCTTCTTTCCTTTGTGAAAAGATAGGTTCTACTTTTCAATATGATTTGCTTTTTCTAGAGTCTGTACAGGTCTTCTTGATTGGCAAACTGAAATGTCAAGGACTATCCTCTAGTGAACACAGAGCTCGTTACTTTATTCTAACATCTATTTTCTAAAAGGCCTTTGCTGCCTGTTTAGCACCATTCATTCATTCAGTGATTACTGAGCATGTCCTCTGCTGGGAGAGCACTAAAGTATAAATTAGATACAATTCAGGGGCTGACCTGTTCCCATGGATTTTTTGGTTTTGTTTTTTGGACATTGACTGATTTTTGTCTCCTGCAGAAATGCCAGATAATGCAGGAGCTCTGCTGGGTGCTTGCTGTAAACTCCAGATTATTCCTTCGCTGTGTCACTTGGTAAGGAAATTATCAGTGGGGATGGGCACTAACAACCTTTAGGATTTTTCATCTATAGTAGCCCCTCAAAATAGGTTAAACCAAGTATTATTACTAACCTGACTTTTTTATACACCATCCACATCACACCAGACATCCTACCCTATAGGAAGACTGAGGCTGAGAGGAAAGCATTTGTACAAAGATCTTGCTTGCAGAGCTAGGACCCAACTCTCATTAGATTCTAAATCTCAAGCTTTTCCCACTGTTTTGAGACCGAATTTTGGCTAAGGTTTGGTTGTAACTTTGCAGGGAAGGGGCCTGACACCCTGTTAGTTGTAATGCAGTGCTAGGGCTAGACCGGTTTGATTCAGCTCTGCATCTAATTCACCAAGGAAGTATTTGAGAGAACTGCTTTGTCTCAGATCATTAGCTTTGTGTCCTAAAGAAATTTCATGGCAAGAGCAAGAGTTAGGTGATGATGACCTTAACCCTAGCGAGTCAAGATTAAGCTTTTCCTTTTTAAATTACAAACTGGGTCATGAATAGAAGGAGCCATGAGTAGGCTGCCCAGAAGCCACTCTAATGGGCAGATGTTGTTCAGCCTGGGGCAGAGTAGCTGAGCACACCTGGCTGGATTAATTACTAAGAGCCCAGACCAATATGCTCTGTAGGCTCAAAAGAGCAAAGCTCAGAGCTCTGCTCCCAGATCTAGGAAGCAGGTATCAAGATTAAATGCCTGGCCAGGATCCTGAAATTTGTTACCCATCCACTAACACCATGCTTAGTGCCTTAGGTATTTCTGTGCATAGCAAAGACATCTGAATAAGGCATCATTCTAAGGAGCAGTTTGGAACCTATTCACAAATGAAAGTAGATTCTACCCACACAGAGGAATGCTGGGTTCTTATACTTTGACCACTAAAACTGAACTACTTGGAAACATGCCAGCATATATGTTCTGGGGCCAGCTGTGGGTCAAGTCTGGTGGTATAGTTGGGATATGGAGACAATAAGTACCATTACCTGTGTGCGGTCATTAGGATGGCAGTAGGTGAGTGCTTAGCATTTCCCAGATTACCCTTAGTAAGATTTACAAAATTACCAAAATATTGCAAGAACACATTAGCTAATTCCCTTTCCCAACAAACTCACACTTACTTGTCATCTTCCTTGCAGTCAGCATTAGATTTGATCTTCGTGTTCCTTCCAAGTTCTTCTTTGTTGGTCCTAGAGTAGCCAGGACACATTTGGAGTTCCAGGATGACTGGTATTCTACACTGACACAAAACAACCCACCCATAGAGTCATTTGCTTTTCTAGGGCTGCTTAACATAGACAAAGAAAACATTTTCCTTTAAACAATTTCCTGGGCATCTTCACATAATCTGACCTAGATAGTGAGGCTCCTGCCTCCTGGAAGAATTTGGGTGTCAAATGTACCTGCATTCCTACGTTCTCTTGTCTGGTGCCCAGAGTAACTTCGAGAGCCTTTCGGAAAAGATTTTAGAATAGCATCAGGTGGAATCAGTGGAGGCTGTTAATTTTGCCCCACCACCCTTTGCGTGACTGTAAGTGCCTGTGGGCACGTGGGGCTGGCGGCTGTTCAGAGAAGGAACCTGGATGCTGCCCAGACTGCTGTGGGCAGCCTGCACTAGTGGAGTTCATTCTTAAATTACTGGGATGTGATTCTTCTACCAGAGAGCAGGCCTAATCCACTTTCTAAAGCAAAATTGAGAGTTTCTGATCTTGGCCAAAGGCTGGTGTAAAGCCTGTGGTAGCACTGTGTGAGTGGTAGTTGGTATATCTACATGGTGTAGACCTATCAGGCTTAAGTACTTTTATAGTCAAGTGACTGCTGCCCTTCGGGGCAAGCTTTTAGTAAGGTTAGAATTGCTTAGGATATTTCTGGAAATCTTTTGGATTCCCTTCAGATTCAGTTGAAATTCATACATACTTTATAGGTTTACTTTTTTTTAATCTTCAGTAATTATAAAGATTAGCCAATTTGATTTTTACCAGGCATTCAAAACCAGATGAGATTAATGTAGAGAGTACAAGTAAAAAAAAAAAAAAATGAAGTGTCACAAAATTTCAAATGTTCTGAAAACTTGCAATTAGTGCAGCATCTGAAGTGGCCTCTCTGAAGAGCTAACATTCATTCAGCACATTGAGGGCCATGTCTTATGAAGGACCAGGGCCCTGGGCTCCTAAAAAGCTTAGGTTTTAGAAAACAGACTAAAGTTACTGTCAAGAGGATAGTTTCAGGAAGACAGTAGGGTAATAGTGGCTGGGATATGGGGGTAGAAGGGAGAGTACGAAAGACCCTTCTGAAGAGGCATTGCAGAAGACAATGAGAGATGAGAAAAAAAAGGGTTTACATGGAACTCTGGAGGGAGTGTCCCAGGTAGGAATAGCAAGGGCAAAGGTTCTTTAGGCAGGAAGCATTACTAAACAGTGGTACCTACCCTTTTGAGGAGATCAAGCAACTATTTAAGAAATAAAAAGAAAAATCAAACCATACATACTGTTTCTATGGGAAAGTTACATTCTGAAGTTTCTCATCTCCTGAAGTTACGGGATCTAGTAGAAGGTAGAATTCAGAGTGGAGATTCAGTCAGAACTCCAGGCAAATTGGAAAAATCAGGTGTAAGGTCCTGGCCTGGGAGAAATAGCTCTTGTTACATCTTAAGGGTTTTTCTGCACCACTTGGGGAATTTAAAGAACAATAACAATTAAATTTTTCCCCATAATCATCTAGAAGTACATTATTATTTAGCTATGTGGATTATCTAACATTTTTAAGTGTATTTGCTTAAATGTGTCATTTCAGCTCCGTGCTCTCTCTGATGATGGAATATCTGATCTTGAAAACCCAGACTTGGCTCCTCTGAAAGATATGGAAAGGTTTATGATTGTGCAGCGTTTGTTTGCCTCAGCTGACATGAACCTGGAGAGACTGCAGTCATCTGTGAAAGTTGTCACCCAGAAGGACTCTAACATTTTCCCACTAATTCTTTATATAAGCCTAAATGGACTCTGTGCTTTAAGCAGAGCACATTAATAGCACCATATGTGAATTACAAATACATGTTATCAGCCAAGGCTGGGTATTTTCCAGCATTGTTAAGATACTACTGAGTTTAGCCACTAGGTACTCTATAAACAGTTTTTCATAAAAGGCCTATGCTGGTGACCCAGTTTCTAAGTTAGATTCTAGCATCTGAAGAGCTAGAGGATGGTTGAGAATTCTAAGCCAGCGTACAGATTTTTTTTCACAGAAAAAATGGGTCCATTTCTTTCTTTCTGCTAGACAAAAACAGCTGAATATGACTTTGATCCAAAAATTCATTTTAAATCGTGAATGCTATAGGAAGACAATTAATAGAAGAGTCTGTGTTATAGATGTGCTGATTGACAAATGAACTGTAAATGCCATTATAGTACATATACTCTGCTAAACAAAATTACACTAATCTAGTAGCAGGACCCCCTTCCTTAGGGGTCTAGCTATAGACATTTTTTTTTTTGGTAATGCTTTGACGAACACACCAATTCTATGTCTAGAACAATGTTGATTTCCCATGCATTCTCGATTTTTAACTTATAAAATACCACATACTGTATCAAAGGGAACTGTATATTTTACATTCTGTTTGAAATTCTTCTATAAATAACTTGGAGTGTCTCTCTAGTGCTTCTGATTCCATTGCCACTAACTACTGGGGACCTGAAACCACTTTTCCTTAGCAAAAAGTAGCTAAGACTTCCTCCTAGAATTAGTCTACCTTAGGAGCAGGGAGGATAGAAATAGCAGTTGTTGAAAGAGAAATGTGTTACTCAGCACATTTTTTTTTTAACCTCATCTATTTCTCTTTTCTGCTCTTCAGATTTTAATGAACATTAACATGGAAGAAATGAAACAAAATAACCCTTTCATCACCTCAAAAATAAGACTAAATCTTATGGAAATACTTCCAATACATGAAAAAAAGAGTTATACACTGTGTGGCAACAACAGAAAAAGCACCTTATAACAAACTGGAAAGGAATCTGCCAAAGTGAATAGTTGTGCTACAACGGTGGCACTATACATGCCTTTTTGTCTTTCTGAAATAAGTTTTATAAACAAAAAATTGATGGCAGATTTTCTAAGAATCTACTTGTGTAAACACATAGCTACACATCACAAGGCAGTGGGAAGCTCCTTTAAAAGTCTACAAGAAACTGGACAGTGATTCCTTTGGGGAGAGAATTTAGTAGTTGGGACAAGAGGCTGGGGTGTTACCCTTCTATTCCTGTTTTAATTTTGTATATATTAACCTCTTAAAAAAACAACCAACCAAAGCCAAGCCAAACCAAAAAAAATCCAAAAGCAACAGAAACTAAAAGATCAGCTTTAGGCAGAAAGAAAAAAGGCCATCCCAGCACATGCCAAAAAGTTTGGGTTACATCAAATAGACAACTAAGGCATTTGGTCATTTCTACAACTATCAGCTAGTTACCCTGTTGGACTGTGTCTTAAAAATTTGGAATTAAGTGGTGCCTGGGTGGCTCAGTGGGTTAAAGCCTCTGCCTTCGGCCGAGGTCATGGCCCCAGGGTCCTTGGATCAAGCCCCGCGTCGGGCTCTCTGCTCAGCAGGGAGCCTGCTTCCTCCTCTCTCTCTGCCTACTTGTGATCTCTGTCTGTCGGATAAATAAATGAAAACTTAAAAAATTTTTGGAATTAAGGGCACCCTCTGCTCAGATCATGATCCCAGGGTCTTGGGATCGAGCCCCTCATCAGGCTCCCTACTCAGGAAGCCTGCTTCTCCCTCTGCCACTCCCCCTGCTTGTGTTCCCTCTCTCACTGTGTCTTTCTCTAGCAAATAAAATCTTTTAAAAAATTTGCAATTAAAAAGGATGTAGCCATATGCTGCTACAGGTCTCCCCAGCCTCCCAGTTACTGCCACACCTTAGCAGACCCCACTGTGACATGGTGGGCAAAATAGTGCTGGGCATGCTCGAGTGGGCTTCCAAAAGGCTAAGTAACTAGTATCTTCATCACTACATACAATGAACTACTATCCTCATCACCACATACGATTAATTGTAAATGTAGCAAATTCTGGTAGCCCAGATACCTAGAAAATAGATAGAAAATAGAGTATTTTCCAGAACAACAGAAGTGGAAAGCCACCTTCACTCAAATGTTTCCATGACCACTCGTCTTTTTCCAAGTGGATGCAGGAAGAGTCAAGAAGCACTTCTGGGGGCACCTGGGTGGCTCAGTGGGTTAAAGCTTCTGCCTTCGGCTCAGGTCATGATCTCAGGGTCCTGGGATCGAGCCCTGCATCAGGCTCTCTGCTCAGCGGGAAGCCTGTTTCCCCCTCTCTCTCTGCCTGCCTCTCTGCCTGTGATCTCTGTCAAATAAATAAATAAAATTAAAAAAAAAAAACCACTTCTGTTAGGGTTCCTCAGGTGTCCATGATCTAATAATCCCTAGAACCTGTGAACATGTTACCTATGTACCAAGAAGGGACTTTACAGATGTTCTTCAGGTGACAGATCCTGAAATGGAGATTATCCTGGATTATCTGGGTGGGCCCTTAGAGGGCAGAAGAGTCAGTGAGACTTGGCCAAAGAAAATGCAGGAAAGATGAGTCACAGGAAGGATTCAGTGCTGTTGCTGACTCTGAGACAGAGAGAGGTCATTTCAAGAACAAGAGAGCAGTCCATGTGACAGCCAGTAAGGAAGCGGGGACCTCAGTTCTACAACAGCATGGAACTGCAATCTGCTGCCAACCTGCAAGAGCCTGGAAGAAGGTTCTCTTTCCAGCATTAAGAGCCAGGGCAGGCCATGGGAAAGGTCTCAATTTCAGTTAGGTGGGACCTGCGTTGCATTTTCAAACTGCACATCTGAGTTTGTACTTAAAGCTGGGACACCTGGGTGGCTCAGTTGGTTAAGCATCTGCCTTTGGCTCAGGTCATGATCCCAGGGTCCTGGGATTGAGTGTCTGCACTCAGCTCCCTGCTCAGTGGGGAGCCTGCTTCTCTCTCTGCCTGCTGCCTCCCCTGCTTGTGCTTTTCTCTAACAAATAAATAAAATCCTTAAATTAAAAAAAAAAAAAAGCTACAAAGTTTGTGGCAGTTTTTTACTATAGTGAGAGAAAACGGACAGTACAAGATGAAAGTGAGTAATCTAAAACCGAATTCTTTGGGAGACATGAGAAGTACACTAGACTAGCAATTTCTGAAGTACTGGGCATGGAATCCCAGAAATTTAGCTTGAGAAAGAGTTGCAAAAATACCTTTTCTGGACATCGGCTTCCCGCACTCACTCACGGTCATGCCTCCCATCTCTTGGCCAGCCTGGTGGGTCCGCCTCCCTTTTCCACTGCAGGCCTCAGGACTGAGCTGTGCCATAGCAGGTGCTGTATCTCCCACCAGTGCTTTTCCTGCTTGGCTAACTTGTCCTAGCATCTCATGTCATCTAAGCATAGACGCCTTTTCTTGATCCTATATTTTAATCTTCCCTGTCTCTGCCATTTTTTCCTTGAGTTTGTCACCTTTGTAAGCCACCAAATGGCTTGGGCTGGGATAGAGGAAACAACAGTTAGGGTTTCCTTGTTAAAGAAGAGAAGCAGGTGAAAAATTTATATATTTATTTTGGTGGCAAAAACTACACGCTTTTTGCAAAGATTACTCGCATTTAAAAAGAAATTACCAAAGCTAATCTGATATCCTCTGTATTTATCATCTCTAAACCTCAGTTCTACCTATAAATGAAACATATTTTTGCAATATTAAATATTTATTTTTATATGTACAAAAATATTTTACTTGGAATATACAATCTCACATGTTGAACATTTCAATAATTTTTGTTTTGGACAACCCAGGAAATATGTGAAAAGAGAAATTTATAGGGACAGTTTCTGAAAAATCAATAACTGTACTGCAAGAAAATTTTATTTATACAAGGGCAGCAGTAATGTTTCTTTTATACAGGAACTAGTAATACAATTACTTGGAAAGCAGTAGCAAATTTTATTTTTAAACTTTTTCATCAGAAAGTTAACTTTAGCAGCTTGTTCAGCCTTTATTTTTAGATTGCTAACAAGCATTTTGCCCTCCATTAAAAAAGAAAAGTTCTACAATTATTTCAAAGATTAGAGGTTAAAAAGAGCATGCATTTGTGTTCAAAATAAAGATATACCAAACTGAAATGGAAAAAAAAAAAAAATCCCCAAAGCAAGGTTTTCACAAATACTCACCATGGGCTCTAAAATAACTCAACATGCAGAAAACTACACTTGTTGCCGAACCCTAAGTGCTCATTCTTCCCCAGCAAAACCGAAGATCCCACTTCCTTAAAAATCAATGTTACCAAAGAAAGAGGAGTCGGCAGTTCTTTTAAAAGAACACATAGCCAAAAGGAATATTTATCTTATACTTAAATTATAGTGGAGACGAGCAATTCCTCAAATCTGGCTCTACCTGAAAAGGTGAAGGCATTCCTCATTTGGACCATATTTACCAGAACAAGCTTTGTCTTCAAAGTAATGTTGCTATACTATTGCCTCTCTTTTTTCAGAAAAAGATGAAGACCACATATTTTAACTGGTGATGACTTCTGCTTAAACAGTGGTAATTTACAGCTGAGGAGTTTTGAATGCTCTGCTTTTTTCCACTTCCTCTAAGCTCCTTGGCCACCTTGACTGATATGAGGAAAAACTAATTTCAGGTATGGCCTGTCATATTTGTATGTTTCAGCTGTTGCTGAAGTGCAACAAAGACATCTAGTTCCAACTTCTAAAATAAGACCTTTTGGCTTCTGCTTTGTGGCAACAACAGTACTATTCAGTGGGACTCAAGGCAGGTTTACAAGCACTGAGTCATTTACTTTCCCAGGTATGAAGTGGTATTTATGCTCATTGTAGACGTGTTCATTCGGTTTGTGCTAGTAATTAGTAAAAACTGGTAGGGGAAAAAAAGGGAAGGAACTGTCACTTCTGGCTAACTTTGGTGTGTGGAGGCAAGTCAGATTTATCATAGCACTGCATTATCAGCCAACAGCCATGAAGCCATAGAAAGAGAATGCAACTAAGATGTCTTCATGTTCAATTCAAGGTCCACTAATTGGAGGTAACAATAGTTCTCCCTACAAAGAAACAGATGCCTTTTAAACTTAATACTATGGGTTAAACAATAAGGCTGCAATGATAAATTTCAGGCATAAGAATTAAGGTAGGGCAGCTTTAAAGGCCAAAGATCAGAATGTCCTGGATGTCAGAATACTGGATTGCTTATATTTGATTTGTGAGTAACAAGAATTTGTTAAAGGTTTGGACTGAGAGTGGGATTCTAAACTCAAAAGGACCTCTTGACCAAGGCCATAAGAGAGCAGAACAGACCCTCCTCGGAGCTGTTTTAAAACTTGAGGTAGGATTCTGGAATAGTATGTACCATTCATTATGCTACCTCTGAAAGAGATACATTTTAAACAAACTAAAAGATTAAAAACCTCAATATAAGTGAATACATGTAATAAATAGATTAAGTAGCCTAATAAGGATTTTCCAGCCTAGCATTTATCACATCAGAGTTACAAATTACTTCTTGTAACTTAAGGTGAAGACAAATAGTAAGCTAGCCTCATTTAACTGATGGAATATTAAAAGTAAAGGAAAATATAAATTTTATCAAAGGTCGCACAGTCAGAATTAGGATCTCCGCTAGTAGAAGCAGGCCATCTCTATTTTTAACAAAAGAGATTGTTTTAAAGAAGTGGTACCAATCAGGCTTCAAAATTCTTACCTTAGAAATGAGATATCATTCCTTCACTTTTTAGGGTATTAAAGATTCATTTTTGATTCTGTGCACTAAATTATTCCAGGAACACAAAAAGTAACATAATGAATTAAGGGACATATTTAAAAAATGAATAAAACTTGAAGCTAACAAAAATGTAACTTAAAAATAATCTTACCTTAAGGAATTACAGAATTGTTATCTTCTTCAGATATATAGTGTATACTCAAAAAATGATGTTGCTGATTATTAGTTGACTGTATTCTTAGAAGTCTGTGAATATTCACTTGCACTATATACAATAATCCCATTATTTAAAATACTGAATCTTGCTCAAGAACTTAAAATACATTACAGATGTTATTACATGAATTGCCACAGCGAATCCACTGGAACAACAGGAGGGCAGTTACCAGAATCTCTAAGCCTGAACCATATCACAAATTCACTTGAAAGTTTAATTATTTCCCAAGACACTGCCATCTAGAACTCTGTCCTTTTTGCTTAAAGAAATTGTTATAATTTTCTGAGCTAAATTTCGTATTTTTCAGAAAGATTAGTATTTGCCTCAAAACTGGAGCCTTATAAAACAATGTGAAAAAAGTTTCAGAATGTCTAAGAATTTGGGAGTAAACATTTAAGAGCACAGGAATAATTACATGGGTGAACCTATTTAGTTTTATTATTCATGTATTTTGGGAAAATTTTACATATTCTACATATGGCTGTATATATATATCTGTATCTATATATATATATAATATATATATGGTGACTCAGACATTTTAAAAAATGACCTACATATGTACATAAAAGTTCAGGATTTCTTTCTCCATATTTAGTATAAAGATTCATTACTACAAAATTATTGGCTCCCTAGCCTGTGATTTCTGGAAAATGGAGTGTTGTTTCAGAAGTCATAAAAGTACAATGTTAAGCAGACCACTATTTTGACCAATTTTCAAAACTTTTACAGTTAACATTTATCAGTTCAAAATAATCATACCTAACTCCATGGCTATCCATCTTGAAAATCAACTCCAATCACCAGATTATGACACTTATTGTTTGGCCCAGCAATAAGTACCAGTTTAATGAATTTTTAAAGCAAATATCATCTTTTATTATCATTGGGATAGTATGGTCAAAGCAGTATCTGGCCATAACCTATAATTATAGCTACACTATTGTATTTTATTGCTAATTTGCATTCCTTCCTAAGTTTATGTTAATAACCAATTTGCTCTTTCCCAGAAAACTTGTCCTGATAAGCTATTATAAGTAAATTTGCTAGATTCTAGAATCTAGGGCTCAGGCTACTATTGCTGTAGTCATACTGTGTTTATGATAGGATTTCTATTTTAGAAAGCTATGTTCAGCAATTGTATAGTTAAGAATTGGGAAAAGTAAAAAGTCCTGATGTATTAGATATTTGATAATATCCAAGTATCAAACAGAAATTAAGACTGCATAATCAAGACATGGCTGGAATAAAAGTAAAACTACATGTAGTGCATCACATATATTCCACTAGGTATAAGGTTACATGACTTATCCAGGAACATCACCTCTACGGGTATTTGTACATTTGAAAATAAAAAATACATATATATAGTAATTAGTCATATATAAATACTCATGCCCTGAATGCTGAATGTGGACACTCTTCAGTCCACAAAGAATCCTCAGGTACATTAATGTATTGGCACAGGTTTCTTCCCAAAGGCATTTGCATGTGCATGCATATTTTAACTGTTACCAATTGCTTAGCGTCATTTTAAACCATTTTCTCTTCAGTAAATCTAATTATTTTAGATATTTCCCACAAGAGAAGTTCATACTTCATTGATTACAACGGTACTCTCAAAGCCTTGAAAGAATCCTGGGGCCTCTGGGACTCCTTGCCTCAGTAGAGCTCTACTGGGTCCTGCAGACTCAGATGGAACTTCAGTTTCAAGTTCAATGATTCTACTGAGATACAATGAACTTTTCTGAATTTATTCTCTTCAGCTCTGGCATCTAGACTGAAATAAACTAAATAGCATTATTTTGTATTATGGGGGTCTAGAGTATATTAACTAGTCATGAATACCATTCATAACAGACATAATCCTTTTAAGTATAGACTATTTTCTAAATAATATGCATTTTAAATCATATGATAAAGCTAAAAATATATATGATGTAAAAATCATCTCCATCATGTCACGATAGTTGAAATATTTTGTGGATAAACTTCTTGTGCTGCTACAATGATCCCAAAGCTGTTCAAAGAGGCTCCGTGCAGCAGCATGAAGGCACACCACAGAAGACAAAACATTTCCTGAGAACTTGGAAACAAAATTTCTCTTAAAATTTTCAGTGTTGAAACACTAAATCATAAGACATTACCTCGACACTGTGCTTTGATTCAGGTTGCTTTAAGAAGCTGAGAATTTGAAGTAAATACATGTGGTTTAAAAGTTACCAAAGTTATTAAAAGGGTAGGGTGTGATCCATTTTACCACTAATTCCCTATCCTAGGACTAAGAACATGATCTGTGTTCTGGATATGAAACTATAGAATAAAAAAAATACCTATACATTTCCAATCTTAACAATACAGCAACTTGGCTGTTCTGTTTATTGTGAAGATGATTTAAAGCAATGTGTGCATAACTGCTTATTGCCATGTATTTTCTCTCCCCTCGAAGCCCTCCCGGCTGGTGGTGTGTCACAGCTTTGCTGAGGAGAAAACAAATTCAACAGCCAGGAGCCAGATGCCTACCATGGACAAAGATGACCACAAGCACCTAACCCTGGATGTGTGAATACTGTCCTTGTGAAAGCTGGCTGCAATATAAAACACAGCTAACTTAGTTTAATGATGAGCTACATCTCAATATGTTTGAGGAAGAATTTATACCATCTAAGAATCCTAAAGAATCCTATTAACTGAGATGAATTTTAAAAATCTGAATGTTAATGCATCTAAAAGAGTTGTTTTCTTAATTACTAAACAAAAAAGTGCATTTCCTAATAGAAATGTAAAAAACTATATAAAACCTTATTTTATATTATATAATACATACAGTGTACATATTATATAATGTATATGTTATATATAGATAAGACAGCTGACAGTTATTTCCAGATCTCATAAGTTGTTCAATGGATCTGGTTCTCAACACGACAGATTGAACAAATATTCTAACAATCATATCACACTTCAAAAAGCACACCGATTGTTCACAAAATCCCCCACTTGCAAACTTGAAGTATCAGAGAAATTTGCAAAGGCATGATACATTTGCTGACCATATCCTAATAAAACACTGTTAAAGCTACAGTCGGTTCATTTTTGTCAATGTCGGTATTTTCTACATGTGAAAATAAATCAACTTTATGCGTCATTTTGCTGCATTATGCGTTATAGGATAAGGCACTCTCTTAGCCTACAAGGCCTTGCTTGCTGTGTACACATTCACTTAGCATCAGCCTGAAATGGCAACAAATGAGAGTGCAAAGATTTGCTCTTCACTTTTTCCCTCAAGATGGAAATGAAGGGGGAAAAAAACAATATACCTGCTTAAATTAGAAAGGATAGCCATGTATCTTTGAAATAATGAAACCATGTATTGTTGAGCAGACTTCTAATGTCAGACTTGGAAGGTATGGACATTATAGTTCTGCTTCAACTTATATTAGGAAAGAAGGCCAATAATTACTATTTTCTCCTAATAAAGAGTAACTGACCTTTCACTAGTTAAATACTGAACTAAAGGACAGCTTTACAAAACTACTTCAAGTATTCCTTATCACAGTGAAAATGGGAGACCAATGCGAGAATGAAGGATTTGAAAATTCCTTTGATGAAAAGGCAAGGGTACTAAATCAAAACATACAAAATGCTTCAACGCATTTCTTTATGTGGTATGAATAGAAAGATTACCCATAAAAAGTTAGAAAAATTAAGATAAATTATATATTAGTACACCTTCCCAACCACATTTTATATAAAAATTCAAATAGTGTACTGGTATTACAATCTACACAATAAAAATGCCTGAACTTGGCAGATATCTTCTATCTGTGCATGTATTTTCTCGGTAGAAGGCTTATTTGTTGCAGTCATTTTTAAAAAGTTTTATTTCCATTATGAACCTTATTGAATCATCAGTAAACCCAGCTGATTGGGACCCACTGTGGCTCCATTCTCAGCTTCTCTATGGCAGTCTGTAGTTTCTCAAAGGCTTTGTCTAGATTGTCGTTTACGATGATCAAATCAAAATAGTGGTTGTATGCTCTTTGAATCCGTGCACTTTCGTCCACTGTTTTCTTTAAGTCAGAGTCCTGTCAAAGAGTGTTAAAAGGAAATGTTTCTATCATAATGTGTATTCACTTGCTCAAACACCAATTCAAAGTGAACATAAGAAATAAGCACACTGGGACTTTTATGGTGATTCTGATATTAATGCTCAAAATCTAATCTCTACAGTGTTAAAACAGACATTACCACCTGTTCATATCCCAGTCCTTCCAGCAGTGCTCATGTTTGCTTTGTAAGTATTCTGTATCTTCTGCTTCATTGATCTTAGGATAAGATTCCTAATTAAACAACTGCTGACAATAATCTCAGGGTGAAATCTAAGGTAATAAAAGAATTATTGCAGGTTTCCAGCCCAACTACATCATCCTTTTCAAATGATTTTTTTTTAACTTTGCATGTATGTAATACACCCCTAGAAAAAGAATCCCAGGATTTTCCCTTCTGTGTGTTTTTGTCTTCCTTCTTCATGGTCCAGGATGCCAGCTGAGGTGGTCAGGACAATGAAACCAAACTGAGGGGACAGGACCAGATTATTCTGCCATTTTTGTAGATCTTTGAGTTGTACATCTAATCTGCTCAAACACCGATTCAAACACCACACTTGTTTAGCCTGCTTGTGAGGTTCACAGCAATTTTCCCAGCTCTGTGATCATCAACGATTTCAAATATGCCAATGTAACCACGCTTCATCATCACTGTTAGAAACTGGTTAATGGCTTTGGAGCATAGCCTAATAAGAACCTAGCGTTTGCCTCTCCTCTCAGGAGTGTTAATGCTCTTGAGAGCATCTGCCAAGACACTCATGTGCACCATTAGGGCGACACAGAAAGACTGCGGAAAGAGCTCGAAAGACTTTTATCTTATGGGCTCTGAGATCATGGAAACCATTTTGCAGTGCCTATTAAGCTCAAAGCCAAATTTGCTGCCTGTCTCCAAGAAAGAGAATATTAGGAATGTATTTTGAAGACAACTACATGCTCCCTATCCCCACCAACACATACACACATATTTATTTCTTTCTTTAGCTGGCACTGTTTATATTTTGTATATTTCTAGTCATTTTGGAATGATATAAGGAAACAATAAGTAATAGGTTCTGCATGAGCAAGTAAAGCTTTTCATTAAATTGCAACTGTTTTGAAATTTCACAGTACTTCTACATGTTCGTCAAATATTTATTGATTGCTATTAAATTGTCTACTATGTTTCATCATCTGTGGATATAACAATGAATAAGACAGAGCGGGTTCCTACCCTCCAGAGGAGGAGACAGACGAAGGGCAAATAAACACAAAAACTTCCAAGTTGTAGTGAGTATTATAAAAGAAACCAACCAGAACAAAGAATTTTGAGAATTCTATTTTAGATAGAGTGATTACAAAGATACTGAGTAAATCACATTTAAACTGAGAACTATAGTGTGGGAAAGAGCATTCCAGGCAGAGGAAACAGCAATGCAAAATCTGGGAGGGAAATGACCCTGATAGGTTTTAAGATACTGAAAGATCAGAGGGATAGAGGGACTGAGGGCAGTACCTTGAGACACCTTGAGATAAGTACGAGCTAGGATGTGGAGAACTCACATGCAACAGAAACACATCGCTGGCTTGTGATGGAGAAATAGGAGATGGATATGACGGCAGACCAGAAATATATTTTGGTGATAAAGTCATCAAGATTGGCTGATGGGCTGAATGTGAAAAGTGATGAATGAATGAATGGGCGAATAAATCAAAATGTAGAAAGAAGCAGTTGTAGAAAATGCAGACTTGGGGAGTGGAGCTGGGGGAACACAATGTTCTACTTTGCACATGTTAAGTTTAAGATGTCTTGGGCAACAGCCAAGTGCAGATGTAAGCTAAGTAGTGATGGGTTATGCAAGTTGGAGCTCTGAATTCTGGGTTACCTATACAAAAACTAGGAATAACCAGTGTAACAATGGCATATAAGATAATGAGTTTGGTGAAAACACCAGAAGGGAAGTGTAGAGAGAGAAATGAGTTCCAAACTAGGCCTGAGGGACACTAATAACTTACATTTCAGTTAATATTTTCACTGACATCTCTAAATCAATTTGAAACAACTAAAATATCTTTTGTGATAGATGTGCAAACAGCCTCAGTTCAACTTGGAAACCATTCTTTACGATTACAGTCATTAGCAATCTGCTTCATTTAAGAAAAGAGTTTTTTCTTTTTTTATAATAGTGGAGTACACCATTCAGATAGAAAAAAGAATAAAGAATCTCTATATATGGCCATAGCGAATCTTAAATATACTGAGAAGTGGAAAATGTAGGCAGACTTCTGAATATGACCGGTTACTTTTTATGTAAGAAATGAGGGAGGGAAGGTATACATACATACTTGCTTATATTAAAAAAATTTTTTGAAAATGACGACCTACGTAGGTGGTTATGGAGCGGACAGAGAAAAGCCAGATTTTCCTGTTAAGATCTACTTTAGAACTATGAAATGTATATAATTATACAAAATTAAATTCAAATAAAAAAAGAACAATACTTAAAAATCAAAAGAAAAATGAAACAGACCTGTGTTTCAAGTTAATGGTTTAACCACGCAGAAAGGAATTATTTCACTGACTTTAAAATAATACCCAGTGGGATATATCTTAGGAACAATTTTTTAAAAGCCTGAAACTTAAGAGTTTTCAATAATTATACTGTTGATATCAGTATTGATACTGTTACTCAGAAATTATATAGAGTGGGTTCTTGGTTTATATATGTGAAGTAAGAAATTATTTTAATGTCATCAAGAACCAAGATTTTCAGCGCATAAGAAAAAAATACAAACATAGAGTCAAAGAAGTTAAGTAAAATAATGGAAAGTTTAAATTAGAATTATCAAACTGAACAAATGATGTGTGCTTTCTAAAAAAGAAAAACGTATTTCCTATGTCTGGCCACCAAAAAGCCTAGAAACAATGAGCAACTAAGTTGAGCACACAACTTCAGCACCTATATTGCCTCTAAATACCATTTTCCACTAAAAGGAACCATGTTTTTTGAATGGCTGGCTCCAGGTCTGGGCTAAGAAATGTGTAAGAAAACCAGGAACAGCTTATCTAGCTAGGAAGAAAAGAGTCATCAAAGATTAGTGGGGTTGTGTTAAAAAAAACTCAGAAGACAAGCTGAATATTCCCACAAACTAAACATAAGCCAATTTAAACACCAAAAAGCGTTGTAACTAAATTATCAGAGATGAAGTAGTCCAAGAGACTTTAAAACACAGCAATATGACTGCATATACTTAGTGAGATAAACCTTAAGGACAAAAAAACAAAAACAAAACAAAACAAAACAACCCACCAAAAAACTAGTTCATGGTAATCACACCTGGTAGTGTTGGTGTACTTATTCTCAGACTGTTGTGTGTACTGTGGGATAAAGCAAATGAACAATTACATCATATTTTAAGTCTAACATTCCCAGTGTTTTTGAGAACTGGGATACTCAGTACTTAGAATGGAAATAAGCTAAAAGAGGTTAACTAAAAACCCTGTAATTCTGAATTTGAATGGGAAATAGCAGTATGAATTCATGAAATGGTTTCCTTCAGAAATACAACAGAAAAACATATCCTAACTCTACCTGAGAGGTGTAGCTAGAAACAAGAATCAATCTTGTGACAATGAGCACCCCTAAGTATTATGGTCTTAAAATACCATTTACTCTAAAAGGAACCAGAGCTTCTTGAAGAAACAGCTCATACCCGGCCTAGAACAGAAAATGTACAAGAGGAGCCTGGAACATCTGTCATACCAGATAGTAAGGAAGCTGAGACTAAAAGGTCTCAAGGGCCAACTTGAATAAGCTCCTACTGGTCAAAGATGGGACAATTTGAGCATCAATAAGAATAACCATAATACAGTAACCACATCAAAAACTCACATCAGGTGCTCATAATGAAACTAAAAAACAAAGAAAATGAACCTTATTTGATCACCTGTTGTTTCTAGGGGTTTTCAGAACAAACCCATTATTCTGAAAACTGACCCATCGAAGTATCAGCATATACTCTGACTTTCCTATATGAACTCTCTACTTCAGAGTAATCTACTAGTTGATGAAGAAAAGTTATTTCTTAGAACTCTAGTTTATAAATTCAGAAAGAATGACAAACTCTTTGGTGTTATCATTTTATAATCCCTAAGAAATAAGTGATCCAGGCAAAGATGAATAAAACTTGCCAAAATCATTAGGTAAAAAGCTACTAGAGAACTTTACAGATCAGGCTCACAACATCTGAACCCACTGATTAATCATCTCACAAAAAGAGAGCCTTTCATATGCCTCATAATGTAACAAGGCAAGATGTATCAGTTATTAATTATTTTGGGGAAAAATAAGTAAACCTATACCTGTTCAAGCTTCTATCAGTTCACAGGGAATAGAGGGAAATGACACCATGGGGACAAAATTGGCAAGATCTAGACTTTGAAGCACTCTGTAGGATAACTGACCCAACTTTTTTGTTTTTTGTTTTGTTGTTGTTATTTTGATTAGAGCAAAAGCTTGATCTCACAAACCCGAGATCATGAACTGAGCCCAAATCAAGAGTTGAATGCTTAACCAACTGAGCCACCCAGGTGCTCTAACCCATTTTTTTGAACGACTCAATTAGAAGGAGAGAGAAGAGATGGGGAGAATTTACAGATTAGAACAAGTAAAGGGATGTCTGCTTCCAGCTAAGATGTACTAACAGATACCGGACTAACCCTTCTACCTGATGAAAACAGAAAATGTATGGAACAGCAGCTTTTAAGACTTTATGCACGAGGCAAAAACATAAGCCAATATATCTCAGAGAAACAGGAAACAAATGAAGTGAGCCCTAATTATTAACCCCAGCTTATTGTCTTGAAAGACCTTCTAGGCCACAATATACAAGGTAGAGCCCAGAAGGAGCCTATACAACATTCCAAGTTGGGACAGAGCTGAGAGCCCAGAGAGACCAAGGTGGCAAGAGTTCACAGGACAGAATTCCTGAATAGAAAAGCGTCATGGAGAGAGAACTTCAGACACTAGCAAATGGTCCCCTCTTCCAGCATATAGCTGTATACCAATCAGGGCAGTGTACATGTACCTGAGACCACAAAAGAACCACCAGAAAAAAATGAGAAGTGTTCAGCTGGAGTCAGGAACAGGACCTCTTCTCACCAGGAAGAACAGAAAACCTCGATGCACAGGCCATTTGGAAAAGTCCTCAAATGGTCTTGCCTCAGGAGTGGAGAATAATTGCCCCCAGATTAAGAATTGTTCTGTTCTTACCTAACACACGTTAAAAGCAATACCTGAAAGGAACAAACTGTTTCTAAACAAGTACATCCTAGAACAAAGCTCACAATGTCTGGCATCCAATAAAAAAATTACTAGGAAGAGAAGCAGAAAATATGGCCAGTGTGAAGAGAAGTCATTCAAGCCAAAACTGATTCAGAACACAAATGTCAGAATTAGTATGTGATGACATGAAAGCACTTATTACAGCTATGTTTCAGATATTCAAAAAAGTTAAGTAGAGACATGGAGAAAACTGAAAAAGAAAGAAGAGGATTAACACTATAAGGTTTTAAAAGTCTTTATCTTTTAGAGATAGATAGTGAAGTATTTATGGTTGACATATCAAAGATTTGCTTTAAAATAATTCATGTTAGGGGCGCCTGGATGGCTCAGTGGGTTAAAGCCTCTGCCTTCGGCTCAGGTCATGATCCCAGGGTCCTGGGATTGAGCCCTGCATCTGGCTCTCTGCTCAGCAGGGAGTCTGCTTCCCCCTCTCTCTCTCTGTCTGCCGCTCTGCCTACTTGTGATCTCTGTCTGTCAAATAAATAAATAAAATCTTTAAAAAAAAAAATTCATGTTAGGGAGGAAGTGAGAGAGGGCTAAGTGAAATAGAAATGGCTACACATTATTGAACATAGGTGATGGGGATATGGGAGCTCATTTTTTTCCTCTTTTGTATGTATTCTGAATTTCTAATAATATGAAAAGAGAGAAAGGCAGAACAAGAGAAAATATAACAGAAACTAAAAGTCAGAACTACCTACCAGAAGTAAACCTTATGATGAATATACTTATTCCTGGTCTTGGAGCCCAATTTCCTCACTGGTAAAATGAGAGGTGGATTAATATGCATATTTTAATATTGCTCCCTTTCATTTGTATAGGGGGAATAAACTTGTGTGTGTGTTTTTAAGATTTTTATTTATTTATTTGAGAGAGAGAGAGAGAGAGGGAGAGGGAGAGCACTCCCTGCTGAGCAGAGACCCCAATACGGTGCTTGATTTCAGGACCCTGAGAATATGACCTGAGCCAAAGGCAGATGCTTAACCGACTGAGCCACCCACGCATCCCTAAACTTGAGTTTTAAAATAAAGTGAACAATGATTTTTAAGTAAAAGCCTTATGTTCCAAATCATAGCTACATCTCATGAATGGATTTTTATTCTGTAGTATATCATATGGTATATTTATTTCATAAATATGATTAGAATTAAACATGCCCAAAAGAAAAAAGAAAAAATCTTAGGAGTGAAATAATATTGTTAGCCTGAAAAGAACTGCTCACCGTCAAAAGCTTAGTAGTGATACCAGCATCCACCACTGCCTTGTGCATGGCACGTAATGTCTCTAGTTCTGGAGCAGCAATAAATACAACATAGGGCATGAACTCGGATGTCCTCAGCACTTTCAGGGCCTGTGTAGAAGAAAAATTACAAACCAATTTATATGGGAATAGAATTTGAATTATGTTACCCTTTAATTTATAATAAATGCTAACTATTCAAAATCTACCTGCCCTCTAAGGATGAAGGATGTAATTTAATACTTGCCCCCTTTTATACAGTATGTTTCTAAAACAGTGATCCATTAACCATGTTTTGACCTCAGTCATACTACCCTTTAATCCTCTTGAACAAAGGAAAGTATTGAACTTAATGATCCAAAAATTATCAAGAATGATGTAAATGCTTTCTGTGTTATTTGTACAATTCTGTTAATATTGAAAGAGCAGAAATAATCTCAATGTTTATTGAGAATGGTTATGTAAATTAATATACATTTGTACTGTGAAACACTATGTAGCAGTTACAAAGAACTAAAAAGCTCTACAAAACTGACATGAAAAGATCTTCAAGAGATACTGTTTAATGGGAAAAAAGCTAAAGAATCTATATAGAATTCTCCTATTTATGTAAAAAAGAAAAATAGAAAACACATAAAAAATCTAATAAAACTATATAGGTATATACCTGTATTTAAGGCATACTCAAATGACATATATATCAAACTATTAATAGTTATCTCTGAGTAGGGACATTAAGTTGGATTGAGTGTGGAGGGATGAGAAGGGGTCACTGAGAGAGAAGAAATGAGAGGAAGCGAATGGTGTGTGCGTGTGTTGAGAAGGGGTGTGAATTTATTATGTTGCAGCTTGCTGAAATTTTAAAATTAATATTTCCTAACACATGCATTTATACGTTACTTGAGCAAGTAAGTAAATACTAAACTTCTATCAAGTTGTATTGCTATCCAAACCTCTGCTGGTTAATTAATGATCAGAGATTTACTTAACTAGCTGCAGATGCATAAACAGGTAATAGAAAGAGATACCCTCACAATCTGAAAATAAAACCAAACAAAACTCCACAGGAATTAAAATTTTAAAAACAGCTTTGGAATTCGAGCAGCTTACTTGTGGGTTGACATCCAAAATACAAGTTCGTCCAGTTTGGACAACTTCAAGAATAGAATCAATTTTGGTTCCATAGAGATTTCCTTCATATTCCCCATGTTCCAAATATTTTCCAGCTTTGATATCTGCTTCCATCTCAGACCGTGACACAAATTTATATGCCTGACCATCTTTTTCATCTTCCCTTGGTTTCCGTGAAGTAACTAAAATAATGTTGAGAATTTATACAAAGAGAACACAGGGTATTAAAATTGAGACTAAAATGCACAGGGTAGCTTAAGATTTTTCCATTTAGTTTAGGGTTGGCATTATGACCTATGGCCAAATCTGGTTTGCTTCTTACTTTGAAAAACTAAGTATTATTAGACCACAGCAATGGCGCATTTGTTTTATCATCCCTGGTTTCATTTGTGGTGTAGTAGTTGTGCCACAGACCAGATAGCCCACAAAGCCTAATATTTACTCTGTAGCCCTTGAATTAAAAAGTTTGCTGACCCCTGACCTATAGGAATATTTTAAGAGGTAGTCCCCAATACACAATTTATATTTTTAAAAATGTGCTTTATAAAGTCCAGTTTATATTATATTTACATTTACATACAGTAAATATATTTACATAGACAGAGTCCTAAATTTAAATTCTTAATTATGATGAGTCCTACTAAGTGTGAGGTAATGATGAGTCCTACTAAGTGTGAGGTATATTGTAAGTGAATATCTTTTCCAGTTGCCACCGCATCCCCCTTAAGGAATATACACTTGAACACTTCCTAATAGAGCACACAACAAGTGAGCAAATTCTATTTTTAGTTGGTATTATCAATCTTCTGAAGCACAGTTTTACCCACCAATTATCTATCCTTCTCCTCACCCTAACACCACACCTTCTTCTGGCCTCCTGCTTACTGATATTCTGAAATGTTAACTATTCTGTTCTGCAACTTTGTGGTGGATCTAGCCACACTTGATGCTACTATGTTCTATTAACTTCCTCTATTCTAAAGTGTTGTATTTTTTTTTTTTTCTGAGAGAATAACAGTAAACAGACCAAGTCAAAATTTAGAAGATTGTTGTTGTCTGACAGAGTTCTGAGTACTTCCGAGATAAACAGTTCCTTTGCAACTTGGGCTAGCATAGAAATGGAAATTCTCTTTCATACTGTTGCAAAGATGCAGTTAGATACTCCCTTCCAATTTGTTAACACTAGCTTGGAAGAAGGAAAGTAATTTGTATGTGTGTCTGTTATTCTACAGTTTAGCCTTAACCTGATTTTGGCTAGATCAGATATAAAATCAAATACTTAGACATGCAGAATATCTGATGAAATCATTAGGCACATGCAATTAAGAAGTAATCCAGATCAAGAGTTGACACTATTTTGACTGTGTAATAAGTATAGCACATCAAGAAAATTTTTATGAGAACAGAATGAATCAAGCTCAGTAATAAGGGTTTAGTTCATAAATGAGATCATTAGGCACAATAGGACTCCCTTTCTTCTCCTATTGTTTTGTGGCTCAGTCTTTAGGGTGATCATCCCAGACAACTGTGGAGAGCATTTATAAAGTAAGTTAAAGACCTGCAAGATGCTATGATGCCTTTTCCTATTAAAAAATGTGTAGTATCCAAGGTTTCAGGAATTATTCAGCAAAGATGGTATGACGTCTAAGGCATCATAAGTATGTCTAAGGTATGTCTAAGGCAATTTTAAACTTCCCAAATAAATACATACTAGGACTTGGCTCAATATCGTGAATATAATTTTAAAAGAGCACTGTTTTTTTGGTGAAGCTCTATAGTGAAAATTATATGGGAATGTGCTGCTTGAAATAAATATGTATAAAGCACACATATTAACCCCATCACCACCTCCATGTTGAGGGAATCTTAATTCTTGGCAAATGTTTTTAGTTTACAAGCAAAAAAATTTAAAAGATTTCATTTATCTATTTAGAGAGAGGGAGAGCAAGCATGAATATGAACAGGGGGAGGGGCAGAGGAGAGAGAGAATCTTAAGCAGACTCAGTGCTGAGGGCAGAGTTCCATGCAAGGCTTGATCCCACAACCCCAGAGCTCATGACCTGAGTGAAATCGAGAATCGGATGCTTAACAACCTGACTAAACCACCCAGGCATCCCTAATTTACAAGTGAATTTTAACCATAATCTCATTCTCAAATGAAAACTCAAAACAAAGCAAAACAAAAATCAAAACCCAACAACTATACTGCTACATATTTAAGTCCCTTTCCATTCTTAGGACAGAGAAATTAGAATAGGGTGGCTTCACTACAACTCACTTCTTAGGCTTATATGCTAAGCAAACAATGTGATTTCTTAGAATGTAATCACTATGGCAAAATTCTAAATTTTTATAGCTCTTCAAATAATGAGGAAACAGCAAAGTAACATTTTTCTGTTAATTAAACTCAGGATGTCAATGTTAAAAAGCAAACTTGATTCCTAAGGTAGCCTATTCCCCCTGGATTAATAATTTTTTTCTATTTTATGATCATTTAATAATAAATAAAAAAAAATCTATTTCTTCTAAGATTTATTTATTTGCGAGAGAGAAAGAGCAAGAGAGAACACAAGCAGGGGAGAGAGGCAAAGAGAGAGGGAGAAGGAGGCTCTCCATTGGGCAGGGAGCCAGACTCAGGGCTAGATCCCAGGACCCCTGGACAAAGACCCGAGCTGAAGGCAGATGGTTAACCAACTGAGCCACCTAGGCGACCCAAGAAAAATCAATTTAATACAATGCCAGCATTTAAAACCTTCCCTATGAGACTTCCTTATCCATACCATCCGACAATATGCAGCACAATACTATATATCAGGAATTAGGCAAACTTGTCACACTTTTGCAATGTTTCTTTTTTGTGATGCATTCTGTGACTTAAAAAAAAAAGCTAGATGCTATTTAAATGAGAATGTTTTAAAGAGAAGTAAAACACATCTACATTATATGAAGAAGTGAGAGTTACCCTGATGTATGGATATACCTAAAATTTCTATATAAAAATTTAGATTTGAATCCTCATTAAAATACTTATTTACTGTTGAAAGGCAAAATAGCATCTTTCCAGAAATTAATTTGACACCAAGAAATCAAGAAATTGAAACATCTATATATATTTTTTGATCTAATAATATTATATTTGAGATTTATATATATACACACTTTATCATCTCTTATAACAAACATAGCTAAACCATATAAATAGGCAATAACACTATACTTATACACTGGAATATTAAGAAGTTATTAATTTTTTTTAGGTTTGTCTTGGTAAAATATATATAAAATTGATCATTTTAACTATTTCTAAGTACACAGTTCAGTAGCATTAAGTACATTCATACTGCTGTGTAACATCACTGCTATTTCCAAAGCTTTTCATCATCTCAAACTGAAATCTGTGTCCATTAAACACTGACTTCCATTAAACACTCTCTCCTAGGCCCTAGTAACCACTACTCCACTTTCTGTCTCTATGAATTTTACTATTCCAGGTACCTCATATAAATGGAATTGTATAATATCTGTCCTTTCGTGTCTAGCTTATTTCATTCAGCATAATGTTTTCAAGATTCCTCCATATTACAGTATGGATAAGAATTTCATTCTTTTTTAAGGTTGAATAATATTCCATTGCCTGTACATATAAGTTAGTTTACCCATTTATGCACTGATGGACATTTGAATGATTTCTATCTTTTTGGCTATTGTAAATAATGCTATGAATATTCATGTACAAATATCTCAGTCTCTGCTTTTAATTCTTTTGGGTATGTACCTATAAGTTGAATTACTAGATCATATGCAGTGCTCTGTTTATTTTTTTGAGGAACTGTTATACTGTTTTCTACAGAAGTATACCATTTTACATTCCCATCAGTAATATACAAGTGTTCTAATATTACCACCTCTTTGCCAGTACTTGTTATTATCTATTTTTTTTTAATGCGTAATACCACCTCCTAATGGGTATGAAGTGGTATATCACCGGAGTTTTGATCTGCAAGTCCCTAATGATTAGTGATGTTCAGCATCCTTTCATGTGCTTATCGGCCACTGTAGATAGTCTTTGGAGAAATGTCTATTCAAGTTCTTTGCTCATTTCTGAATCGGGTTGCTTGTTTTATTGTTGTTGTAGGATTAATATTTACATAAAAACATATAATGACAATAACTTATGAGGAAAAAGCTCATATTACAATGTTCATTCATTTATTCATCAAATATGTCTTGGGTATATCCTATGTGCCAGACCCTATTCTAGATTCTGAGTCTACAGAAGTACAAAAGACAGAGCAGCTCTCTGTTCTCGTGGGACATATTCTTGAATGTAGAGATCAGTGAATAGTCAAAAAATAAGAATTTAAGTGCTAAAGCATAACCACTAGGTACTGGGGAGGCTACTTTAGTAATGTCCTATGAGAAAGTGATATCTGAATAAAAAGAAAAATTTAAGAATCTGAAGATCTGGGAGGTAGAGTGTTTCATACTGAGGGACCAACAAGAACAAAGGTTGTGAATGATAAGTTTGAGGAATCTGAAGAAAAGAAAGACCAGTGTGTTAAGTAGGAGAAAAAGTATGGAAATTTTTATATGAATAATATGGTCATAATTCCATAATTAGAAATTATTTTAATTGTGTTCATTGTATTAATAAATAGAACACTGAATAAGGTGTGTTTTCTTTTTTCCTTTTTGCAATCTCACAGTATCCCTCAAGTCCCAAGTAGAAGCTAAAATGCCAAGGACTTATAGTTTCCTCTTTCAGAGTTTACTAAAAAGTGGCCAACTTGGTCCTAGGATCATCTGTCTACCTATCTCTATCTTATTATATATACTCAGAAAGGAGTTGCTGAGGTTATGAATTATAGGTTCAGGGCAGAATGCTTTATTTTCTTCTCCTTTACCCCATGGTAAAATGATTCTCCCTGATGAATACTGAAAACCCATAATGACATACTGTAGCAGTTGGGTGATTTGTACTCTCACTGTTTGACAAAGCAAGAATGAGTTTCCTGTGGGATATGTGTGTGTGAGAGTGTGTGTCTGTGTTTGTGTATTCAAAAGATAGAGTGGCTGAACCGTACTGAAGGTATCCTGCACAGAAAGACAGAATGAAGGGTAGAGAATGAAGCAAAAGAGAACATTAAGTATGGGATTGGGGCTTGGCATTAGTCTCAAGGGG